TAAAGACGAAATAAATATAGAAGAAGAAGAAGGTTGTAAATGGATATAGAAATGAAGAAGTGAGAATAAGATAATAAGAGAGAAATGAATATAGAAATGAAGAAGTAGAAAAGTAAAGAATAGAGTTGTAAAAGTGGAGAAGAAATGAGGAAAGAGATAAATAAGAAAGTAAAGACGAAATAAATATAGAAGAAGAAGACGGTTGTAAATGGATATAGAAATGAAGAAGTAGAAAAGTAAAGAATAGAGTTGTAAAAGTGGAGAAGAAATGAGGAAAGAGATAAATAAGAAAGTAAAGAAGAAATAAATATAAAAATGGAAGAAGGTTCGAAATTGTTCCAAGAGACCAGTATAGGAGACCGGCTCGAGGAAGAGTGAGCGCTCCGAGTCCGGGCGCTGGCTCGAGCGCTCCCCCCCACCATCCGCCTGCTCCGGCTCACCGAGTCCTGCGCGACGAACTTGCGCGCACACAATTTTGGGCAACTTCCAGTATTTCTAAATATGCTTGGCCAGAATTTCCGATTTCTAAGTGTTAATATTTTACTTTATTAATTTCATTAATTATTTTAATGTTCCAAACAACTAATTTATTAACATTTCAATTTGAACCTAATTTATTTTCGATATTCTACCATTTCAATTCAATTTTTATCTACTCCGTATATTCTGCGAGATTTTGATTGAGCCTCAATTTTATATTTTGAATAAATTTTGAAAGTAAATCAAGATCCAATAATATTTAGTAAAAATTGATGTGCTACACAGGTGTCAAGTTAGCAGTAAACTTTCTTAAAAATGTCTTATAAATGTTTCAACAATAGGCTATTTTAATAGTACTTGAGAAGTTCTATATTAACCTGTCTCGTTCTAAGGGTTGCTTTAGTAACTAGCGGTGAGTAGCGGAGAACCTCTGTTCGTGAAGTTACGCGTTCGTGTTCACGTTTAGCTCGGCTAGGAGGGGATTCAGTTTGTCGACGGAGGCGATGATCACGAATTCTTACTTCCAGACTCGCCGCTACAATTTAGTTATGATGATTTTGGTATCGCCTAAAATCGTAGTGTTGTGCATTTGCCTACTCATCTCTGTTATACGCACCGATTGCAATAAGTGGAAACACTATTAGAGAAGTTTAATTTGACACAATGATGCATCATTGGCTTTTTTGAAAAGCTTCTGTTGGATTCATGATGTTTGGAGCCATCGAATAGTTATGTTTTATTTTATGGATTGCCGATTCTACTGACTTATAGACTGTTTGAAAGTTAATGTTTTGGATTGTGATTATGGCGCTATTGCCATCATTTCCGTTTGGCGCCAATTTATCGACATCCGAAGCCGAACGGCACTTGGTGTCCCCTGTATTTTGCCACCAAACGTTATTGTTGAAGAACTTTTCCAGAAAGAACAGTTAACTCTGAATTAGTAATATCTGTCAAGATGAACCATCATGGAAAGATGTTTGTGTTGAAGCGTGGTAAGCAAATCATTATGTTTATTTCATGTTTAATGAAATTTACGAAGAGATGATGCCTTTTCACCTAGTTGATACAACATTAAACAATATGTTATTTATTTTTAGATGGGCGCAAGGAAGATGTGCATTTTGATAAGATAACGTCTAGGATAGAGAAGCTGTGTTATGGTCTTAATATGGATTATATTGATCCAGTAAGTCGCTGTCTATTTTAAGTGTGACCATCAGTATTCTTCTTTACTGGTGCTATAGATATTATTTTATGTATGCATTCTTATTAGTTTTGTTTTATTTTAGCCGGCAGTTACATTTCGGGTGATTAGTGGTCTTTATTCTGGGGTAACAACAGTCGAGTTGGATAATCTTGCAGCTGAGACTGCAGCTACAATGACCACCAAGCATGCCGATTATGCTATCTTAGCTGCAAGGATTGCTGTGTCCAATCTACATAAGGAGACAAAAAAAGTTTTCAGTGGTGTGTACATATTTTTATTTATTTATAGAATTTTTCTGATAACATTCTAATATATTGTAACTGACAGTATTCATTCCAAATGCAGAGACAAATGCTTATGCTTTATTTAATGATTTTGCTTATTATGAGGACTATACTACAGGAGAGAATATAATGTATGAAAATATTGTAGATTGTAAACTTTCCACTGGTCTTTACAATTAATTATTTCCATATAGTTGATTAGAAACAGATTATGTAGGACAACTCAAATACCTGGCTAATTTTTTATTTTCAGATGTTATGTCAGATTTGTACCATACAGTAAATCAACACTCAAAAAATGCTGACTCCATGATTAGCGAAAAGCATTATAAAATTATAAAAGAACACTCAGCAAGGTTGAATTCTGCAATAGTTTATGATCGTGACTTTGGCTACAATTACTTTGGTTTTAAAACATTAGAAAGAAGCTATTTGCTGAAAATAGATGGCAAGGTTGCCGAAAGGCCTCAACATATGTTAATGAGAGTGGCTGTTGCCATCCATGAAAATGATGTAGATAAAGTAATTGAAACTTACAACTTAATGTCTGAGCGATACTTTACTCACGCGTCACCAACGCTTTTTTCTGCGTGCACTTTGAGGCAGCAAATGTCCAGGTATAGAGATAAATCTTGCTCTAACATTTTTATTGGAATTAACACGAATTATGTTGCAGCTGTTTCTTATTGACGATGGTTGAAGATAGTCTCCCAGGTCTGTACAAAACATTATCGAGATGTGCTCAGATTAGTAAATATGCTGGAGGAATTGGACTAAGTATTCACTCCATAAGAGCCAAAGGAGCTGACATACATTGTCTTCAGTCAAAACATGACGGTGTGGTTCCAATACTCAAACTTTTCAATAATGTGGCACGATATGTTGACCAGGGTGGAAACAAGAGACCTGGAGCATTTGCTATATACGTGGAACCATGGCATGCTGATATAATGGAATTCTTGGATCTTAAAAAAAATATTGGTGAGTGTTAATCAGATTTTTATATTTTATTTATTTCTAATATGTGAAAGCTGTATGACATATATGATGCATTATTTATAGGAAATGAGGAAACTCGAGCTAGAGAACTTTTTTACGCCCTTTGGATTCCTGATCTATTTATGAAACGTGCTATGGATGGTGGCACCTGGAGTTTAATGTGCCCTCACCAATGTCCTGGTCTTGCTGATGTCTGGGGAGAAGAATTCGAAGCACTTTATTTAAAGTAAGCGTATTCATTCGATGTTCTCGAGTTTCCGTTTGCTAATATTTTTTCTTTTATATTCATTAGATACGAAAAGGAACAGCGTTATAAGCGACAGATTCCTGCTAGAGATGTTTGGTTCGCCATACTGAGGTCTCAAGTAGAAACAGGCACGCCGTATATGCTGTACAAAGATCATTGTAATCGCAAATCCAATCAGCAACATTTAGGAACAATTAAGAGTAGTAATCTCTGTACAGAGATTATACAGTATTCAAGTCCTGAGGAAGTTGCAGTATGTAACTTGGCATCCATTGCTGTCAATATGTTTGTAAATACTGCAAAAAAGACATATGATTTTGAAAAACTGAAGGCTGTTACAAAAATAGTGACTCGTAATCTCAACAAAGTCATTGATAGGAATTATTATCCACTTCCTGAAACTAAAAATTCAAATATGCGCCACAGACCTATGGGTATTTACAGAATATTGTCAACTTTGAATATTAGTATTTAACATATATTTTAATGTATACTTGTTTCATTCAGGTATAGGAATACAGGGCTTGGCCGATGCATTTCTTTTGATGCGTTATCCGTTTGAAAGTGAGGAAGCTCAAAAGCTTAATATTCAAATTTTCGAAACTATATATTATGGAGCATTGGAGGCTAGTTGTGAACTGGCTAAAGAAGAAGGCACATATCCAACTTACGAAGGTAGCCCAGTCAGTAAAGGAGTAAGTTATCTTATCCCATTCTTTGACAAATTTTAAATTGTATTTTCATTGTCTTACATTGCTTATCGCCCCTTTCTCAACCAGATATTGCAGTACGACATGTGGAATGTCACACCAACTGATCTATGGGATTGGGCAGCGCTGAAAGAAAAAATTGCAAAACATGGTGTGCGGAATTCTTTACTATTGGCGCCAATGCCGACGGCCTCGACTGCACAAATTTTGGGCAATAACGAATCAATTGAGCCTTACACGAGTAATATGTACGTGAGGCGCGTTTTGTCTGGAGAATTTCAAGTTGTTAATCCACATTTATTGAGGGATCTGACAGAGAGAAACCTTTGGAATGACGAGATGAAAAACGAGATCGTCGCTAATTACGGATCAATTCAAGTTAGTGAATACAGATTGATATACTTGTATTTATTAGTCTCTTTATGTTTTTGTTAAAACAATTTGTTTCTATGTTTTTACAGAACATTGAAAAAATCCCAGATGATTTAAAAGCCTTATATAAAACCGTATGGGAAATATCACAAAAGATCGTTTTGAAAATGGCTGTTGACCGTGGGGCCTTTATTGACCAGTCCCAATCTCTAAATATTCATATGGCTGAGCCAACAACTGAAAAACTCACCTCTATGCACTTCTATGGTTGGAACATGGTAAATAACATTACAATAAAGTTATTGCACGGTTTCGCATCGATCATCACATGAAGTACTTATATTTTATAGGGATTGAAAACAGGAATGTACTACCTACGCACAAAACCAGCAGCGAACCCCATTCAGTTTACTGTGGATAAATCGAAATTGAAAAAGAAAACATCTCTTACTAATGGAAAGGTACTTGAATCGCCCAAAGAAACCAAAACGCTAGAAGATCAAAGAAATGAAGTACAAGAAGAAAGTGAGGAAGACTTTGATGCTGTCTTGGCGTGTTCAAGGGAAAATGGTGATGCGTGTATGGCATGTGGTTCCTAAATAAAGATAGTGTTTTAATAAGAATTTTTTGGTGGACTTATCGTAAGTAAGGATCTATTTTTATACAGAACAATACACATAACCGTATACTATATCATATAAAACCTTCTTTTCCTATTCGAACAATTTGTAATTAATATATCAAGTATTCAGTCAAACTCTGTTATGTCTTTTGTTAGTAATCTACAATATTTAAAACATAAGTTATATTTGATGTATGAAGTTTATGAAGAAGCGCAAATTCGTTGTTCATTAAACTTGACATGCGAAACTCTGTATAATATAATTAGGAAAAACGGATATAACAGAAGTCTTACTAAACCATAACACATAATCAAATTAAAAAATGAGTATTAATTTCATTATGCTCTTTTACGGCATTTACTTATACGAATACAAGCATCACGTACAATATAACTCAAAAGAAAATGTAACAAATCTTGTAATGCAATTATAATAAACTAATCTAATAAATGCAGCAGGAAAAGAATAATTCACAAGTATTTCTTGTTGTTTCCCTTTATTTTACTCTAATAGTAATAACATGCCAGAATAAGTGTTTTTATACATACATATATATATATGAATATATACATACGTGTATATAAGGAATAAAATGGATGCTCTTACTCCATCTGACTTCCATGGTAGTATCGTATCTTAATAAATGCGTTACCACCTTGTATACAGGGTTATTCGCGACAAACTAACCACTTACTCGCAGTAACCGTATCCTGTAAACGGTAGAATTTGTCGCGAATAACTCTATATGCAGTATTATTCAGAGCTGTTGTAGCTGCTGAAACTGGTTCTACCATAAGAATCGATAGAAATTAAATGAAAGCGCCAAAATCAGCTGGCACAATAGCCCTGACTAACACTATATACATATATATTCTATATACAACACACGACTTTTTGTACCTTAATACCTAAAAGGAAGTCTAATATTAAAATAGTTCATTTTCTGATTCCAGTAATTATGTAAACCTCCCATACAATTGATCATAGATCCTCACGCGAGTTACAGTGCTCTCCGATGTGAGTTGCTCGTTAACATTCCAATAACGAGAAGCGAGGAGTGACGATCGAATCGACAGAACAATCAATAAAAAGCGAAGAGTTACGGTTGGCTCTCTTAAGGGAACGCCGATCGTCATCGACATGTTGTGGGAACACTGCACATAATTTAGAACTGCGATGCAATCACGGAAACTGTGCGGTCAATATTTACAGTCTCCTTAGAGTAAAGTGAAAATAGCTTAAATAACATTTGCAGAGTGCGAGTCCTTTGAATTGATCTCTGAGGCAATTACGAATGAATAGATTTATGGACGATCAAAATGAAAACGTACCACGGTGATAATGCACAGATTCGTGTGACACAGAAAATCCCACTTCCTTTTACCACGTAATCATAACTCTGATATGTTCTCGAACAAAATATAAATTTCTTATTTTCGTTTCAATCCTTATTCCATGACAATTCTTGCCGTGCATAAAAGTAAACATAAAATAGTCTCTTCGATTTCGTCCTCTTCCATCGTAAAACGACATACATAAACTGTATAAGAATAATGCACAGCCCCCCTGCAGCCAATCAGCACTCGAACATTGTGTTTGTATAGATCATCATTAACTTGATTCACTTCCAGCAGTGACTTATTAGTTTTTAATTAACTTGCCAGTGGTTATGCTCATTGAACCTTCTCATCAATGTAGGATTTTATTGCTCTTTGACACTCTGAAGAGCACCAATGTTGAACCAGCAGATAACTTTCAGACTCTAATGCTGCATCCAGTTCTTTCCGGTGGCTGTTACGTAACAGAGCTTTCGTGGCTTCCATGGACTGTAACAGAAATCAAAGAAGAATATTATCTGATTGGATTATTATTGGGCAAGCTGTAGTAACGTGAGATTGAAGACTGTGATCGATAAGTTTTTTCTTTCAGAAGGCGAGCAAGAACAGAAATGATTATAAAATGTAGTTGGCATGGAGTAAATGTCTAATTAGTTTTTGCTAATTGCGTCTGACGATTTATTAAAATTATACAAGGCAATGGATATATTAATATTGTGGAGGTTCTGTGTAAGCCTCGCATATAAATGAGCACGTGGGTGTCACTGTGTGGGATTGGGCATATGTCAGACATTGCGTAGTTTTAAAGATAATGTGAGTTTAAGTCGAATCAGTGGTATTGACGTAAAGTATCGTATCCTGTGTCAGAATGCTGTCTGTGATACTTTTAATATTTCTAGTGGATCGTAGCTTTGCAATATATAAAGTAATCAATAGTAAATCAAGCGCAGTTGCCTTCAAATATAACGATGGAGTAGGTACTCTAAATCAGAATACTGTCAGCATTGACTGTTACTACCGAACATTTCGATTGATTTGAAACCTTGATATGGAAAAGAAAGTGAGAATTATAGTGTCGATTTTTAGGATCAGGAAGTATAAATTTAGATAAGGGACTTGTTGAAAAGCATAGAAAAATTTGGGCTCTTACTAATGGGGTCTTATTGAACAAATGACATTTTCTTTAAGTGATCCTGTGTTTTTAAATTATCATTATATATTATAATATTCATTTATTAGGTACAGGGTGAGAGTGGTTTACACGAGTGCCAACTAGACGAAGTATGTAGCGCAGTGCACAAAAGATTTTGGATGCCAACATTGTCAGAAAGATTTTGCCGATGTTCAAATGGAATAGAATGTCCTTGGCAGTGGGACAAAAACCCTGATAACGTATCAATGACTCTTAATAACCGATCGCATCTTAAGGTAAGGCTGACGAACGAGCGGTACAAATTATTTTGAGTTTTGAGTTCGTTCATTTCTCGAATTATAGTAATAATAATAATATATATAATAAAAAAAATAATATATAATTATAATAAAGTGGATCCTACCACTAGTTCTTGATAATTTTTTAAATTTAAATGTACACAAAGGGAACGAGTTTTTTTTTATTAATTTAATACTTTGATTATGTAGTTTTGCACCACAAAAAAGACTACTTGCACGCATAAGCAATTGGCTGTAACTGTATATGGAAAAGGCAATTCAAGCAATGCGTACTTGGTTCCTCACAATGTGACTGTGAACTGTTTGTGCCCGAAGACTCACTATTGGAAATTGCAGAAGTATTCTTACGAGGAAAACGATAACATAATTCAAGTATTCAGATGTGTCAAGGTAAAGCTTAAACTCAGTATTTAAATATCCAATAAGGTTGCAGAATTTGGTCTATATTTGAAGGACATGAAAATACTGCATTATCCTATCAAACGAGTCTGGACACCGAACAACCATCTTGAAGTTCCAGCTTTAAAAATCGTTTATAACACAGACTGGTAGGAAATTTATTTCTAAGCATACTCGGCAGCACGTTCTGCAAGGATAACAACTACTTTTAAATCATAATGAAGTTTGTGTTATTTACGATTTACAGTACCGGAAACTTAAAATAACCGTCCGAAGTCTCTAATCCCTTTATAAAATCTGATACCCAGCTGATCCATGTGATGTTACTGATATTATTGTACACAATAATTACTTGTTAATGATTAAACTATAACTGAACCATTTTTTTTTCATAATCACTTTGGAAATTCCAAAAAAAATGCAGCAACGGATGTGTGAACGCTTTGAATTTTGTGGAAACGTTAGATCTGACTTATACTCGGTATACTATCAATGTACCTGTCCATGGGGTCATTTGTGCATTTACAAAGACAAGATGCTAGATAACGTGCAGGAGCTACTTTACTCAGGACCGGCTTACAGAGCTTATTGTTATCCATTTCCAAAACAATAACACGGATTACTGGCAAGTAACATCTATTTGAATTCGTTAATTAATCAATAATTTTCAAACGCGTTACATATTTTTAGTACTAAAATTAATAAAAATATTATTAAAGATCTGTAAAAGACTGCTCACCTGTGATGACTGTTCGCTCATTGCCCGCAACGAAGGTAGCAGTTCGTCTTGAAACCGATCTGGCCAAAGAACCCTTGTGACAAGTCCAGCTCTCAATGCCTCACTGGCTGTAAACGTTCTGCCTCCTAGTAGTAACTCGCTAGTCTAAAAAAAATACAAATATTCGATAGTCTACAGTATGTATAAAAAATTGTATATATAATTTTTTGTCTTGCTAAACACAATTCTTAAGGATATATATCCAATTTTTGGATTACTTTACTATGTTTTTGCTGAGTCTCTGAAACCTGTGTTTACTGAATTGAATACTTACAAAGGCGCTACCAAGTGTGTGGGAAAGTGTGAAGATAGCAGCTCCCTCAGCAATTTGACCTAACTTGCCGTATGGTGTACTGAACGTTGCTTTATCACTAGCTATCACAAGGTCAAATAATGGAAGCATTGTTACACCAAGTCCAACAGCAGCCCCTTGCACACCAGCAACGATTGGCTTATTAAAAGTTGCTAAACTTTTAATGAAGCTCCTTAAACAAGAAAGAATACATATGACGCTCATTGTGTAATATCAGATGTAATACTTAATAATTTTATATGAACACATAGTATTGAAATAAAATTTGTAAACTATGAAATGTATGAAAATTTATGTCACTTTATCCTAGTGGATTATTTTAGTAACTTGGTATTTTATTGAATCATTTCTCTGAGATAAGATCCATTTAATCATTATGGAATCTGAAGTATTTCATTATTGCCTTATGCACGTTGAATTATACATACTTAACACCGTTGGCCATTTCTTGGGCATGCATCAGTCGTTTTTCTTTATCAACTTGTAAGATATTTGTCAATTCTAAACCTTCACAGAAACTTGTTCCTGTAGATGTCAAAAGAACGACACGACACTCGTCATCCTTCTTCAAAATTGACAAAATTTCCCGAAATTCACGCATCACCTAATATTCAGGAAATAAATCATCGATTAGGTGATATAATTTTCTATTATGGCATAGCATTCAGATTGTACAATGTGTTTCATAAGTTCACGAATGAAGTGGTAGCTTTATTTTACGACTATCTAGTCCATACACATTGGAGACGGCACTAAAGTATGGAATAAATAGTTTTCCTTGGGATTGATAGTGCGAATCAGCTTTTGATTTATTTACTTACTCTCGCTGTGATTCTTTACTGTTGCCACAATTCAATTCGCAAAGATATAAAGAACACCTCTCTTACTTAATATAATAGAAAAAGAAATCAATTTTATTGAATAACAAAGTGATTCATACCTGAAGCGTGATTCCGTTTCTTATTTTAGTAGAAGATGATGGAGTAAGTATGAGCTGTACAAGATTTCCATGACGACGCACATTTATTTCCTTATTGCTAAAGGAACTTTCTCCATCGATTTTCGCTTTTTTGCCCCCATCGATATCAGTCGTTTTAGTTAAATTCGCGTTAGCTAAAAAGAAAAAAGTATAAATAATGACTCTCCTTACATCTCTCCAAGCTTTTTCTTCTGATCGATTAATGAGCAGCAAAACAGTTTAACAATCAATTAATGGCAACAAGAAATGTATAGCTTGATTAAAATATCTTACCTTTATGTTTACGATTAATTATTGCGCTTTCTGAGCGACCGGACATTCCAGTGACATCCGAAAGCGCCGTGGCAACTTCTGCCAGACAAGCCGACAACTCATCTTCTTCCTTCGGCGTTTCCTCCCATCTGTCGGCTTCAGCGCCTCTAGCAAAGGTTACTTTGCCCTTGACGCCTCTCTTACTTTTTGTTACTGCTTTCCCTGCTGATGCTCCGTTAGATCGGGTCACTATTTTACTGAAGGAGCTGCTATTACTACCCTCGTCAATGTCAACAAGCTCTATCATCTTGGACGACGTCTTCTCGGCTTTCTTCGCTTCTATACGTTTGTTCGAGCGCGTTGCCACTGTCGGCTTATCATCGGCTACTGCAACTTCTAAATCGACAATGGCTTTAGAAGCAAATTTTTCGGACTCTGATTTTGCTGCGACTTTCTTTTTAGTCTTCTTCGAATCTCCAGACTGTTTTGTTTTTTCATCTTGAGAGTATCGCCTCTTGTTTGACCTGAGTATATGCGCCCCAGTTTCCTCGACAATTGATTTCTTATCTTTCGAACCGTCGAGTAATGTTTGTTTCTCTGGACCATCAATACTAACCCTAGGACTATAAGAAGCGCTGGAGAATGAGCTCGATGAATGACGACGTACGATAACGGATGCATCTGCAGCGTTTCTAATTTTCGCGGGAAACACAAATTCATTGGCAGCAGATGCGGCCAAACGTGGAGATCTGATCTGATCACTGGATTTTTCTTCACCCAGTGAATTTTGACTTGATCGTACCACGGAACCTCTTTTTGATCTTGGTGACACCTTAACGTTGCTTACGTTTGACGTACGCAAACGTAGAACCGCGTTACGCACTAGCTTCGTTCTAATTTTCAATTCGCGCTGCACTTTCTGTATGTCCATTACTTTTGTTTGAGACTTGGTGATTGGTACCAAACGCTTTTTATCTGGTTGCTCCACGTCGTATAATAAATTGACAACTCCCTCATCCTGGAGCAACCTGTCAATCTCATTAATCACTTTCTTCTTTGGTTTTGTGTCTCCTGGACTGACCTCCGACACAGACTTTTGTGATTTACCTGCGCTCTTTGTCGACACTAAGAGTTTTGATTTCAAATTGACCGCTTTCTTGTTCGTTTGCATTTTACGACGTAATAATTTCTTCACTGCCATTTTTCGCTTTGCAATTGGTTGCGGTCCTTTCTTCGCAAGACTCTGTTTCGACCGTGAACTGTATGTGGTTAGAACTTTACTTGGCGTTACGTCTGCTTTGTTTACAACTTGTTTACCAGACACTGATTTCGTTAACGATTCATTAGTTTTTTGGCTCTCTTCAATTTCCGTGGATTGGTCATGTGTGCCCTCTGGAGTTTTAACTTCTTCTTCTTCTTCTCGCTGGCTGGCATGTACTACAACATTTTCTGTAGGTTGAGGCGATTTCACCGCAATCTTACCTTTGTAGATTTTTTGCCTCTTTGAAGTATTCTGTTCGTGTTCCCGAGCTCTTTCGGTAGGTTTTCGTTTCCTACCGGATCTTGACTCATCCAATCGAACATCCTGAGTGGATACAGTTGCTTGTTCAATCTGGGAAATATTCTTACCCACTGATTCTGGTGACTCTTCATAAGCTGAAGGAGGATCCTTTAACGATACATCCTTCTGCAAAGGTTCACTGTTGGTATTTTCGCTATTCGCAGCTGACACTTTTGGAGTTTGTTTGTCATTGTTACTGGTATCCAATTGTACGGTTTTCTTTTTCTTAGCATTGGTTTTCTTGGTAGATGGAACAGAAGGCAGCTCAAGGAGTTGCTTCAATGCTAATTCGCGTTCGATTAAAGGATCCAATTTTGGGGGTGTATTATGGTGTGCTTTGGTGCTGGTAGGTTTGTCTTCTGCTATTAGAACTGGAGGTTTTAAATTGGACCAATCAGGATCGACGTCGCCTTCTAGAATTGCGAGCAACTCTTTGTTATCTGTGTTACCAGTTTTACTCTTATCAGGAGTAGTACTGGTGGTCGCTATTTTCGTTTCACAAACTTCATCGTTAGGACATGCTGCCTTTTGTGGTAGTGGAATAAGTCTTGGCAAAGGATTCGCTGAACTCGCAGATAACTTGCTAGATAGTCGTTGCGTCAATTTCTTAACGAAAAAAATGTCTGGTCGTTGAGGCATCTCTAAGTTCTTCTGCTTTTCTCGTAGTCGTTCTTTCAGTACTTCCGTAACTTCTGCGGTAGAAGCTATTTGACTCGTCAGAGGTCGTCCAAGAAGCTTAACGCCAGCTTTTGGCGTCGACACCTTGTTCTTTAGTAAAACCTGCTTATCCTGCAATAGACGCTTTGACAAATTTCCATGCACTTGCTGAGGAATTTTATTCAATGCTTCTTTATTGGGAATGTTTTTCGTTTCTGTCTTCCCTGAATCTCTGCCCATCTCACTATGCTCATTCTCTATCGAAAGGATCATTATGTTCTTTGACTTAGTTTGTTCGTTTGATTTGTTGCTGACATTTAACGTATTATTACTTCCTGCAAGAGGGCCTGTTACAATTTGTTGCTCGTCTTCCTTTCTACTCAATAATTCCTTATTGTGCTCGAATGTTTTTTTATTTTTTTCATCCTCCAGCAGTGTCTTCAACTCAATTTCTACGGAATCTTGTCCAAAGGACGATTGCTGCTTTTGATCATCTACAGAATCTTCTTGATTCTCATCGGTCCATTCGTCGACAATGTCCTGCACAACGCTCCTTTGTTTTTTCACTATCGTCGACTCCACGTCATTCTTGGATTTTGAATAAAGCGTGTCTTTGACATTCTTCGAATGTGATTGCACAACAGGTTTTATTGAAGCAATAAAATGATTATCCGTGCTTACTTCTTTTACAGTATAATCATCTTTATCCAGCATTACTAATAAATCATGCGATTCTTCCTGATTGTCAATACTTGGAGTTTCTACGCTTGTCACAGTGATCGCCTCGTTTCCACTGGTCGTAATATCGTGATCCGTTACAAATTCGATTTTTACTAACGACACTGAACTCAAATGACATTCATCATCGTCAGTCCTAGTATTGTTAATGACTTCCGATTCTGTAAGCATTTCCATGGAAATAGTCTCCCCTTTGGCATTTTCTTCATAGATAACGAGACCGAAGTTGTCCTTGTCATTCGCATGATTGGAATTATCTTCTCGAATAATTAGATTGGATTTTTCCTGAAGGCTATCATCAAAGACTTGAGTATCTTGTGAACTGACATGCACACATATATCTGAATGTGCAGAATTTTCTGTTACATATCTATCAGTCAAATCATTTGTCGATGAAGCATCTTTTGATACTAGAGGTGACACTGTGCTATCCTGTTTAGAATTTGTTGAAAGCATTGTTACACTATCAGGTCCTGCACTTTTCATCGAAGTGGAACTATATTCAAATTGCTCGTTCGGTTCACAATTTTGATTCACACAATCTGACGATATATCTTGATCAATAACAAGGCTTTCTTCCTTTTCTTTCAATTCTTTGACACTTGATGAGTCTTCCACGTGGCAGAGCGCGGAGTATTCAGATATGCTTTCGTTGTTGCACAATACATTTTTACGTTCCGTTAACATAATTTTGTCGCTATCTAATTCACCCTCATTATTCGATGTGTCGACTTTCAGCATGTGGTTGCTTGTTTTCAATTCTGAGTCGATATTTTCTACATCTCCCTTTAATTCATTACTTACGTCTCTGACAGTTTTCTGTACTGCTACTTCCAACGTTACGTTTTCTGATTTCACAATTTCACCTGTGTCCCCGTCTTTTTTTACTGGTACATTATTAACATGTATCTCTTGAGCACTATCAGTAACAGCATTTGTCGGGGTAGAACTTAACTGTGGAGCATTAGGTTCGACACTGTGTGATGTGCCAGGGTTCAATGATTCAAATGCACCTTCGTCAGAGCCAACGATCACTTCGATTGTGGCTTCATTATCAAAATCCAAAACTGCATCAGTTGACTCCAAAAGTCCTGCTGGTTCAACATTTATTGTTGCAGTTGAATGTGTATCGATTGCAGTTGTGACATTATCAATCTCAACTTCTTCTACAATCGTTACAGCCTCAGTATTCACTATATGCACATTTTGTTGTACAGTTTTCTCATTTTGCAATCTTGCAACTTCAGCCGCTTGCCCATCTACTGCATGTTGCTCCATGATTATATAAGCGGTTTCATTCAAGTTACTTATCAAATCACAAGGATCCCTGTTAACAGAAAATAAGTTTATCAGTTTTGAAATTAGGGTGTATAGAAAATAAAACTATTAATAACCTATGGATTTTGGTTTACAAGAAGAACTTCATAATTGGGTATCAATCTCTCAAATACATGACACTTGTTCAATAATACTAATATTTTCAGAGATTGATACAAGTTTGTCAATTAAAATTGATTATAAGTATGTAATTTTAAGTTCAGTACAAAAGTGATTAGTGAAATAATTGATTTATCAAGAAAGCATCAAATTGATAAGATATATAATGATAAGTAAGGCTTAATTTTTAAGCAAAATATATTCCAAAAACTACATATGAACTCGTAAAATACAATAAACTTTAGCACCGCACACTAATAATCTAAATTACAGATATCTTTAAAATAATATATTAATTTTATAATACTCTATACACATAGTAACTTCATTTTATATTTGAAACTTGGCCTATACAAGAAAGAAGTTATAGAAATAACTATTGCCATTCTTACATGAAGCTTTTGGTGTTGTCAATTGCTGCGTTCAACAAATTCTACTAATACGTAATACATGCAATTACTTGGTAAAACGTAACAACTCTAGAATGCATCAACCATAGCAGTTACATATAAAAAATACATGCACTGATAAGGTATAACAAGAAATTCAAGGATAACAAGTACAAATCAGAGTATACAAATTCACAAAACTGAATCATGTTTGCTATGCATTGCAAATACAACATCTACAACATAACTGTATTATCTCATGATTTAACAGTTAAGAAACTAATACAAAAGAGAATACATAAGTCACATAAATTTGCTTACCAAGCAGCAAAGTCAAATCCATACTGGACACATATCAATAAATATATTTCACAATGTAAACAAGTGAGATTTCCTACATCTCATAGATTTTGCATCGCATTTATCAAACTGTAGAGAAACTATGCGCGATGATAAGTCCTTTAACCAAAAGGGCTATCACGGGAAGTTGCCATGCACAATGTTTACAGTTTACACGAACGAACTATACTAAGCCACACAACGCGACCATGATCCTACAGCGCGTCGCTGTTTTCTTAAAAACGAATTACGCAAAATGTACCACGAAAAGCAATTCTCACGGATCGAAAAATTAAAACCAACACGCACTGTATTCTGTAATATTCATATGGAGATTTTTTTACGGTACACGTAAAAGTATTGATAGAAAAAATAAAGAGAACAATGTTAGTCCGCCATTAACTTAGGCTAGATTTTCACGCGACTAATACCAACTCAATACGTACAGGCGTAAACCAAAGAAGCTGCAAACTCACCACTGTTCAATGTTCGTATTCCTGATTTTCTAGCAGCAAAAAGATTGCGCAACGATAACTAACGAATTCACTTTATCCTTTAAAACGTAATTTACTGTGCACAATTGAGAAAAATATAAATAATCGTTACTCTTTAATATCGGAACAAGTTACGGATGATGTGTCGTTCATTGAAAATCGGCAGATATTTTCGTAGCAATGAAACGAATAGACGTTCTTCTCGCTACTAAATTGTTTTATGATATTCAATTATCTCTTCCTTCAGTATATCGGTGTTGTACTTGAATTTACTAGGTTTTCCTTTTAATCGAGTTGAATCGCTACAACATAACATAAACACATAAGACAATACAAGACTTCATTATTCGTTAGTTCCAACAGAAAGTTTTCCGAAATAGCCAATAATGTAGCTTTATGCCGTGTTGTTGTTCACAGCCTACATCTTATGCTTATGATGATTATGCTAAGGAATTTTAACCAATTGCATTACTTTTTTACTCATAGGTCTTATGGACTCTGTTCTCCAATTGGTTAAATATGCTAAATACCATTTGTGAATCAGACATGAAATCCCTTAAGGCCCACCTAACTATTAACTACTTTATGGCATTTTTAATAATTTTACAATGAAGTATATGAATTCCACCTTGAACTATAAACTGAATTGAATTCTTATACAACAGATAGTACTAACTAATTAAAGAAATGCACTCCATAACCTTTACATGATTACTGATTACAACTACCTTTACCAAATACGTACCAGTCCTTCAGCGATGAAACTGCCCCCTATGTAATAACTGGAAAATGTTACAAATTTATTCCACCTACTCCACTCACGATTTTAATATGTATAATAGAATGGGTTAATAACATGGAAAAGAGGAAATAAATGTACAAGTAAACGTAAAGAACGAAATTGTTTTCTAATACAAATTTGTAATATAACAGAATGTAGAATGCAAAAGCAATAAATTCATATACGTGGGTACTATTGTTCTGACGGAAATTTTTTGTGGAAGTTGCTGTATCAATCCATTGTTCTGCTCACGCGTATTCTACTGCCGGTACGAATATCGCATGACATAAACCATCGATATTCCGTGGTACAAGGTTTTATGCAATAAATTACAATACAAACTGAAGTACAGTAAACTTTCGTTAACTGAATGCTAGATAAGTAAAGACCTTCTCCCATAGTTAGAGTTTCCCGCGCCTTGGGGCATTCAGCTTGTTCCTACTACTAACTATCGAGCTTATCTTTGTATACATCACCGCAAAAGGACTGCATGATTGGAAACAACTGAAGACACTGAATTCTGATAAAGAACTTTTGAAGAGTGGGACAGCTTTGTTACTGTTAACATTACTGTATGTGAAAATACTTGCAACTAGTAAGATAGCACAGTATACATGAATTCGAATACCACTATTTATTAAATAAATTATGTACAAATTTTCGTATACAGGTAGAGCGTTACGTCTCATCACTGGAATATTAAACTATCACATAAATTAATAGGGCATTTAAAGTTATCCTAATAAAATACGTTGATATCATAGGTCGTGGCTATTACTTATGAAACGTATTTACAGGTTTGCCACATCTGTAACTTTCTGTTACACTTTCACGAAGTTAAACGTTAACGCAAATCTTTGTAAACTCTGATTGAAACTATGCACGAGGCTGTGAGTTCGGTTCTGTTATTCGTTAAAATAAATTATTCAAAATTATTACAAGTTGCTTTTGAGTGCCTTCCTTTTTTTTAAACTAACCACCTCCTATGGAAGTGAAATCCACAATTATAAAGATATCATCAGGATTATCACAGTCTGTGTATTTACAACTTAAATTCTAATATATTTCATCGTGTTATCTCAGCAATCGTTGTCACCTGCTCGTCTCAAACCATTTTCATCTATCAAATACAAAACGAAAGTTTTCTTTTCCAGCTAAATCAACTATCGTAGAATATTCATTAAGTTAACAAACTAAGATAAATTGTTTGGGCCAACAAAGAAAAAAGTGTTCGAGTACGGTTAACCCATTCGACCGCCACTTTTTTTTTTCTCGTACTTGCTGTGTACGTTGCGAGTGTACCTCATTATTTCGGCTGAATGGGTTAAATATTATCCTGCGTAAACAAAATTTGCTATTCAGATAACAGAAGCAAAGTGTGTATTCTCGAAGTAAAGCTTATACGATAAATTTATACATGAAAAATCGTCGTTTCATTCCATAAAAATTATTCGAAATTGAAAAACTGCTATCAATATAACTTTAATGATCTTGCATCTGAAATGGGCCCATAATTTTTTCAAGAATCATTAAATTACAATCGATACGATAATAATGTATTCAAAATATCAGACCAAAACGAAATCTACTTCTGCTCGTTTGCTGTTTATCGAATACAAAATTAAGAATAAACAGAAGTTCCATCCAATTGATCTTTCTGCAGCCATCAAGCTACAAACAACTGGTCAGTTGGAAGTAAGAAACTCGAGATTGCTTCGGCCATGTCTTACAGCTACTGAATAAGGTTCTTCGACTATATACATTCTTCCTGGTAATTCTTCTCTTATTTCTCTCTCACTATATCTCACTACCACTTTTCTTCATATACACGTTAATCATTAACTAATTTGTCTCAACAGTTTCACTCTAGAGTACCAAGAGCAAACAATCTCACGTCGGAGCCAACGTTGTCCTGGTCCATCGAGACACACGCTTGAGATCCAAATATTAAAAAAATATCTGTAATTTAAGTTTAAAAGTTTCTTCCAATCAGACATGCGAACATTGACGACGATTCATTTAAGGTAAAACGGTGTGTACAATACAGTCGAAACATTAGAACGGTCCGAAACACATCCGAGATTTCTGCGAACGAATGAGACGTCTTCATCATCGGTGAACATGAGGTAAGACAAGGTCTACCGTGCGAATCCCAAGAAATCGGTAAGTCGATCATTCCAGTCGTGCAGCCAGTGCGACGCGCCATGGGCGCTCTGTCTTTGCTTGCAAGGATTCACTTCCTTTTCCGGTGGCATGTATTCCTCGCCACGTATACAGAAGTAACTCTTGATGGGGCTTCGACACATGGGGCATCTGTCCAACTTGCCGAAACACGAAGCGCAGATGCAGGTGTGCCTGCAGGGCAGCAACGCTCTCGACAAAGGAAAATACTGACAAACTACGCAGAGCTGCTCGCCTGCTGAATTCCAAAGTGAACCTTCCGTATCTCCAACGCCGGAAGCTACCAATGCGCCTCTCGCATTGTTACCACTGTTGTTGCACGGTTCTGCGAGGGCGAGTGCAGGCCCCAAACCAGTGGACATGTCATCTTCGTAGCTAGTGGAATTACCAGTAGCCAGGTAGAGTTGCTGTAATTTTTAATATAAAATTAAATACATCAATTATGGATTTTATGTCGGAAATTTGTACTGTTAACCTATGAATACCGTATTAAGAATATTTTGCATTTGAGTCAGGTCAAGGTATGGCATTTCAGCTGAAACTTAACCTCAACACGCGAATGGAATACTTTCGGTAACAAAAGCGTCAGTTTTAACTGTACAATATTTCTTAAGAAATTCCGTGCCGCGTGGAACATGCACGCCCCACGCTGCCTGATCGGAAAGTAACAAAACGTCCGGCACAGAACGTGTCAAACTAATTCCTATGACTCGTTTAAGTCACTGAAAGGAATACCTTGATTAGCAGTACTTACCAACAGCGAGTTACAGAGAATACGAAAATTTGCATAGTTACAATTTTTCAAGGACCCACAAGTGACGTACTCACCTTGAGACAGGATAATTGGCCGTTCGCTTGTTTCAGATACTGTGCTAATATTGAAGTTGGCAATGTACAGACGCTATCCTTAATGTGAACAACGTTCACCAGCGCCACCTGCAAGCACAGACAATATATTTATTTGTTATCAACAAATTCTTTTTCCTTATACCATGGTCGAAAGTACACGATCGACGCATCGATTTCAGTGCAGAAAGCCTTGGATTTTTGCCGTGCTGCGATAGGGGTCTACACAGCAAAGATCCAAGGCTTTCTGCACTGAAATCGATGCGTCGATCATGTACTTTCAACCATGGTATATAGAAAAATAGTATACGCCACACGGAACTGCTCGGCTTCGCCTCGGGCATTCTATCGAGCAGTGCCGAAAGCTCAGTTTTCTGCCTTTGTAGTGTAATATACTAATCATTCGTAACGACTGGCTGCTCCGCTTTAAAGCGCTTAATTAACGTAATTAAAGTACGTCGAGCGGGCTTCCACGATAAAATTTACCGTCTCGTCAGGATGCGGATCTCTGTTGTCTTTGCGTGTGAGAAAAATCACGAGAGGATAGCAGAGACGTGGCGGAGTACCGAGCTGCAATTCCGGAGCTGGGAGGGACAGCCTAAGCGTTTCCTCTCCGTGTGGTTGCTTACTGATGATTCGTAGTCATGGAAATATTATGTTAAAAAAAAAAAAGAAATAAATAATAAAACAAGGTGGACAGCAGGACGTATATATTACGCGTATGAAAATTTCAAGAAACGTTCTTGACATTTGAAACTTCACCGTGATTATTTATTTTCATCCGAACAAACTACATTACCCCAGACGACAATCGGTCGACCTGTTATTAACGTTTTAAATGTTAATTTTATGTCTGCTATTAACAATCTTACGCGTACCTCGCAGTTGTCTTGTTTTCAGAACGATTCAACGGTGACTCGTAAAAAAAAAAAGGAGAAAATTAGAAAAGCATATTCGTAACGTAGGAAAATAAGAAAGATCGCAAGGAATCTTATGTAAAAGAAATATTTTTTAACGAGTGTCACGCCAATCAAAACGACACCAAAAACACGTATACTCGTAGGCCTGGAAGTTGCTTATACGAGACTTGAAATTCTTCGTACATCCGATAGGAAAGATACAAGAGGTAATAGCTGATTTATTGTATTCAATCGTGAAGAGCGCAGTCTTATTTCTTGTCATTTTTACGATTTACATAAGAAAGGATACGTTTGTGGCGGCGTAAGGTACTGCGCGTGTCCTTGAAGAAGTGTGCCATTCAAAGATGCGTCCCTCAGGGCATTCCATGGCCTCCATAATGCCAGGTGCAATTCTCTTATGCTAACGCCCCAAATCGCTTGCAGTGAATACTCCACCTGGCTGGATACCTCGCATTCGACTTCTGTAATAAAAATATTAAAAGCAAATTTTAAGCCTCTGAAGCAATTAGATTGAATCATTTTTTTTTTAACTACACGTTCAAGTTCGTCGACTTACGAAATTTCGATAAAGTCTGAGACAGAATTTTTTTTCGGAAAATGGAATTATTACATAAAATTGATTTTCAGATTTTCATTATACTTTTATGTAACGATTCAAGTCCAGCACAGCAAGCCAGGCTGTTACCGGCTGTGGAGAAGTCTTACAAGAAAGAGAAGCCCTTGCAAAAAGTACAATAAAGAATTAATAGAGGGTTATGTTGATCGCAATCAAATCCAGGAGCAGTATAATAATTTTCAATTTCAAAAGCATTGAGTAGGTGACTGGTAGACTCCGCGCGTCTACTGCCGGGTTGATGAATGCAATGCTACGACTATGGGGTAACACGAAACAAGAGATTGTCCTTGGAGATATTATATAACATAAGCATCTTTTTCGATCGTCTGTATTCTTAAAGAGTGAACGCTGACAGTTTTTGCACAATTAATTACGTCCGTATAGATGGTACTGTGCGATTCAATTATCGTCAAATGTTTACGTTACAATCTCTTGCGTGTTAGTAGCCAGTTTTATATTGTACTACGGACTGGCACAGCAGTAAACGTTTACGCGGGACCTTTCGATGTGAATTACATAAGAAATTACATAATAAATGCGTATTTCTATAAAGTAAAATTTGATTACACGATCATTACGAACTTTCAATGTCTCGTACCAACAGACGGTAAAACAGTGTTCTGCCAGCTGAGACATGCACAAAGAGAATATATCTTACGGTACTTAACCTCTGACGCTCAACCTTTAGCAAAAAAAAAAAAGTATCAAGAAGAACCTTTAGCAAGTTGTCAGATCGTCGTCATCGAGAATGTCTCATTTAAAAGAGAAAATTCCCAAGATCCCGTTAAACATTTCAAAAAGCCCACGTTAGAATATCAGACACCCTGGCGCCGTACAGCAAACAGTATCCAGAACGAGCCAATAAAAGCCCATTGTCTAGGATCGAACTACAATCAATCAATCACCCTTGAACAATTAGTAGAGGAAACATCGAGAAAGTTCGGTTTAGTATTTCTTTCGTACAAGTTTCGTAATAAGTAAAATTGAGCTCCCACGAACGACGTGTGACGTATTTATGGCGACGTCGAAAACGTTCGTTGCACGTGACGAGACCTGCGATCCAAATTGACGAATTAATTAGTGGTCCTTGAAAATCGTCCAGAAGACGAGACCAACCAATGGTGCAGTAGAGCTGTGCCTGGTGTTGAATTTTATTTTTTGTAAAATCGCAAATCGATAAGATTTGTCAATGATATATTTTCTAATACGTAATCGCCGATTTTTCTTTGGTATTTAACGGGATTTTACGAAAGTAATTGAAACAAAGCGTCGTAATATATATATATATACGTTTAATCGTTAGCGTGTGTGTGTAATGAGTTTTACGAGACGAATTTAAAGCGCACAGAACGTTCGCGAACTTTATTGCAGCTTTTGAGTTACGTAAGGTGCGTCACGGGACCGCAAAGAATGATAACGATAGAATTATTGGTAGAAACGTCAATCCGTGGGCATTAAAAAGGTTTGATGTAGAAGCGTCGCTGCACCGCGTGTACTGCCGTTTACCACCGAGCGTTATTACTTTATTGGTTTGTTATTAGCGAATCGCGACCTGAGATTCTCAACAGCCTTCGACCAGCATCGTTTACTTTTTGTTTTTTGTAAATTGAATGGCTGTTTGTCGCCGATTTAGACTATAAAATTTCGAGGATTCTTTGAAATATTTTTCGATTCAAAATTATAAGTTGGAAGATAAAAACAGAAAAACATTGAACAGCAAACAGGTATAATCTTTTGAACCACGTGGGTCCGCATGTTGAGAATTTGCAGTATCAAAAAAAAAAAGAATCAACATATATCATCTTGAAAACGAAAGTACTCGTCATGGGAGACAAACTAACGTTTAATTTATACCCTAAATTTGATTATTCACACGAACGTCAACAGAATTGATATGATAATTAGTTTGCATTTTTCATTAGACATTTATTCTTCAAAAAAAAAAAAAAAAAAAAAAAAAAAA